TGTAGGATTTAGTAGCATCTAGCCGTAAAATTGCAGATTATAAGTAACTGAACATTGCTTATGTCTGTATTTGATGATCTGGGTATGAGAACGGGCTGTGAAGTGTTGAGGGGAAACTACAGTGGTTATGAAACTTGTGACAAAACGCCCTATTAACAGCCACAGTTTCGTTTGTGATGACACAAAAAATACCCATGAATATTATATTCCATTTCTGACAATATATCCTCTTAAATGTTACACACTGGACCTTTATAGCTGCATTTTCAGACACATCAGGCAGCCACATTCCACTACCTGTGCAGCACCAAAGGGGAGAAGAGAACCAGATGTTTCCATTTGTTATAGACCAAAAACAGCTTAAAAAGAGCGAATGTTAGACTTATATTCATCAGGTGGACAGAAACATGACTCCAAATGGATGCTAATGTTGCTCCATAACTGCTGGATGTGTAAAGAAGCAACTTTTGCCAACAAGTTTTGTAGCTTTTAAAGGTTTAATTTAAAAGTGCTGTTTCCCCAGCAGAGGCTCCATAATGACCCCGGTGCACGTCTTCTTAAAAACTGACTGCACGCCATGAATATCTCCGTCCCCTCCATCCTGCTCGGTCTGGGAGGAAAGTGTCTGCTCAACTGGGGCCTTGTGTTTCTCCAGAGAAACCACATCTGCAAAAGCCTCCTGGGAGTTTTCAGTGTTTCCCTCGCTGTGGTCGACACAGCCCTGACCCTCTCTGTCACTGCCCTTCACATCCACACGGATGGATACGTCTTCCTTCTGGGCTTGCAGCTGACCAGGTACCATGTATGTTTGTTGGTTCAAATCTTCGGACAAGTCTACAGCTCTATGCAGTGGCCTGTTGTAGTCTTAGCTGGTGTGGACCATTTCTGTACGGTCGCTCAGAGGTTGCAACCCATCACCGGCAGGGCCAGATGGTTAGTCTGCATATTCCTGTGGTACCTCACTGCTCTCTACGTCTTCCTGCTGTCTGACTTCTACCCTGTCTTGGAGGATGTGTCTCACAACCAGATTCACCACTGCTGGGTCTCCCACACCTCTCAGATCCGGCAGGTTTCCATGTTGCTCCTCCTGGCTCTGAGCTGTGCAATGTTGCATGCTGGGTGCAGCACGCGATTATCAAAAGATCCTCCGCCACAACAAATAACAGACCCTAGTAGAACATACTCCAGAAGAAGTGTCGTTCGCCAAACCCTGCATATATTTCTGAACACATGGGCCCTATTCCTGTTTTTTCTGGTCGTGTTGTTTCTGCTGCCTGTGGGAATACCTGCGTACCTGGGTCTGAACACTGCCTGGCTCTGCTTCCTCAACAGCCTTCTGATAGCAGTCATTTTATGTGTGGTCTGTCCAGCCTCGCAGCTAGCGGAGGGCTTGGCAGCAGTTCCTCCCGACAGCTTCTGTGAGTGGAGATTTAAATTTAGCTCGGCTGCAGAGGACAGAACATGACTGCACCAAACAGGACGTGTTAGAAGAAGTGGAGTCAGCTGCTGAGAACTGAATGTATCCTAATTTGTATTTCCAGACAAAAATTTTATCAATGGCAATGACGAGGGATATGTATTAACAGTTAATGAATGGATTAATTATGCAATCATCATTTTAAATTTATATTCAGATCAATATGTTTTGATTCAAGACCATGATTGCATGGTATGGAGTATGAACAAATATACAATATAATCATAGCAGAGTGAGGATACTAGCAGGAATTAAGTACAACATAAACATATTTTATGTATTTTTAAAGCAAACGTTCGAATATTAACATGCTAAACCAAGATGGTGGACATTAGAAACCTTAATGAAAATCACTTTGGAAACATTTTGCCCCAGTTTGTGCCTCATGTAGTACGTACATACGTATACGTACATTCAGGACACAGAGATAACTGTTGATTTCTCTGGAAGGTTATTAACAGGTGATGTCTGAAAAAAGGAAGCTTGTTTAGTCAAGAGAAACATTTTATCTGCCAAACAAAAGCATGTTTACATCTTCGGTGTGAGTACGTTAGAATGCTTTCTATTAGCATTTAGCTCGTACTGGCCAGTGAAATTAAGTAAGACAAGCTTTATGCAGCCAGGCTAGAGAATGAAATGACTACTCTAAAATAAAAAGTACAAGGCTCTAGAGATGCCTCTTTTTTTTAACTCACTCACTTTAAAGGTCCAGTGTGTAGGATTTAGTGGTATCTAATTGCAGATTACAACTCACTTGTTTCACCCACCCTTTCCAACTGCGAGGGAGAAACTACAGCAGATACATAACTTGCGAACAACCCTATCTAGAGCCAGTGTTTGGTTTGTCACTTCTGCTGCAGTAACATGGTAGTTCAACATAGAGGCCTCCACGGAAGGCGACCCACATCGCCTGTAGATAAAAACGTCTCATTCTAATGTAACAAAAACACAACCATTCCTATATAAGGGCAATTATACACTAATGAAAACATACCTATGAATATTATATTACATTTCTGTCAGTGGATCCTCCTACATGTTTCACACTGGCCTTTTAAAGTGTGTGTGTGCACCACTTGTTTCAGTGTGTTGATATGCTGATTGTAAAGAAGATGATTACAGTGTATGTAAAATGTAAAGCCACTTACTGTCCAATATTGGAGGGAGAGGTTATAAAGTGTCTGTTCGATGGAAGGCATAACAGCCAAACTCTAAGTGAGGACTGATGTTTTCAACAATAAGTCATATTACAGTTACCGCTACTGATTAAAGACATAACTTTTAAATAATCCCAAAAGAGGGGAGAAGGTCAACTATATACTTTGTGTGTGATGGGAGACAAGAGATGTATACAAATGTGATGGGGTCATGAAGAAGTGTAAAGGTAAACTAATGGCTGATTGCATATGGATTTAAATAAGGTTAATTGTGTGCCTCTATATGTCTGTGATACCTCTTTGAGCTAAACTTCATCATGATAAACTGATGCTTATATTTGATATATGACTTTTGTACAATGTTTAGATGTTGATTTTATATGGTTGCACATGGAAATAAAAAAATAAATATAAATAAATGAATAAAACACATCAGCAGCTCTGATAACTTTAAATTAGTATATTGTGCAAATGTGTGAATCCTTCGTCAATAAGGAAGTTATGAGGACAAAAATCAGCTTCACCAGCGAATAAGAAAGGCAAAGGACAACAGCGGGTTTGACACTACAGAACTTTACTTGAATTTGATCCAAGTTCATTGTCTATACAGGGTATATTTACAAGATTTGAAATCAGGAGAGGGCAAAAACAGAAAAAAACAAACACTAGATACAACTGAGGTATTAGCTAAAAGCATTTACAGGTATGTAATTTACTAGTAAATATCAATGATAAACAGTTAGAGATGCAGTGTCTTCTGCTTAAAAAACATCTTTTTATATCACAACATGAGGTAGGAGAACAGTGTCTCGATTCATGCAAGAACAAAAGTCTCATCACACTGTAGTATTGGCAACGTAGTATGCAATGGTCATACACAGACACTGTGTTTCATGTTTCAGAACAGCATTGGAGGGGGCGGGAAAGGGGTTTCTTTTTAGCCAAGCCATGAATATTTTTTCATCTATAACAGGATGTGTATAAATTAAAACATGGTGTACCTCTTAGTAACCAGTGATCTGTGTGATCAATCACCAACGCAGCCCCACTTCCTACTTCTCCCACATGGGCGTAGAATAATTACTGGTTGAAAGTTAAACATCCAACTACAAAGCATATACCACCTGCAACAGTATTAACAGGTCAACTTGGACTTTGTTTATTTTCCTCCTTACGTAGCCGGGAGGCAATGGGTATGTAAATCCTGTATTCAAATGTGTTCACATGGTAAAAGCCGTGCTCCTTTCACCTTGTTTTAGTCAGTTGGGGAAACTTCACACCTGTAAAAACTCTGTACAAAGCATATCCAAATTCTCATAACACTGCAAAATGCAAAAAGGCCCAGCACACCGTGTTACAAGGGATTTTATCTCCCTTTTCATTTACATTTAGTCCTTTTTCATTATGGTGTACAATTAAAGAAGCTAAACAACGCCCTCCTGTGTATAAAATGCAAATTACACAGAAAGAAAAAATCAGAGATAACTGATTATCTGCTAACGTGATGAATTAAAAAGGATTTTTTTGTATTTTTTGTTCTGCTGAAGAGGTAATTAAGTCAATAAAAATACTGATTATCTTTTTGAGGGATGTTAACACATTCAGACGAGGATATATGATCAGAATCAGAAAACATAACTACACACCCAGAGCTACATGAGCAAGTTTTTCTCTTTCCCTTTTCAAAGCTGCTGTGCTTCAGTCAGACGTGGGAGGCCAACAAACACTCACTCTCTTTCTCTCTCACACACACACACACTCACTCACATCAATTTCCAAATCAAGTAAGGCTACATTTTATGTTCTTCATAATCTGACTTTATATTTAGCCAACCTTTAAACCAATAATGATATAAAACTTGCACATGTTCAATGTTCATGCATATGAGCCATCTCAATAGTTTGTGCATTATGTGTGGGGGGGGGGGACATCTTTTTCTTTTCTTTTTTTTTTTAAAACAATGAACAGATTGATAGAGTGGCCCGGTGACACAAAAAAACATAAAGGGGCAGCAAAACATGCAAAAAAAATCATTTTTTGTTTGTTTTCTTTTTTTCCAAAATGCATTTTCTTCAACAAATGTTTTGTTTTTCAATTTAGCTCAAAGGGGGATAGGGGGGTTTAAACAAAGAGGAAAAAAGCTCATTACAGTACACGTTAAACAGTCCGTCAAGATGAAATCCACAAAAGAACAAATGCATCAGTTCAGAAAGTGGGGAAAGTGTGTAACAAAGTATTATTTTCCTATTATGCCTTTGTCCTGCATCATGTCTCAGTAAACCATGCGTTTCACTCCCCCATATCCACTCGACAAAAGTCAAGTTCACTTTTTTAAAAAAGAAAGCAAAAAACCTCCAAAGCCTTTAGTTCTGGTCCAATTTATATAACCTTTTGAAGATTTTTCATATAAGAACAGTTAATATATTAATGACTACTGTATTTACAAAGTGAATATAAATCTTTAGTTAATACGTTAAATATTTTCTTTCATAATTTCAATAAAGGTTTAAATGGAACAACAGTAGAGTGTACATTTGCGGCATGGGTTTGATTTCACTGGTCTGCACCTGCACCTGCTTTCATGACTTATCAACAAACCACAACTGTACTCTGCCCGGTCTTTAAGGTCTGTTATTGTAAAGGGAAGCTGTGTAAGAAAATCTGCATCGAACAGGATGGAGCACAGTGGAATGTCTATCAATTTGCATTTATAGCAGATGCATAAAAAAAGCTCAGAGTTTAGCTGAGGCCGATCCCCTTCTCTTTTTAAACAATTATTTACACACACGCACACTCACTTACAGGGATCTCCTTAGTGGCAATAAAAAGCGCTTTTGCCTGGCAACTGACACAATAAAAGTCCTCTCTTCTTTCTCTAGCTGGACGTCTGCTCGCTCTCCTGGGCATCTACAAAACACTGCCCACCCCCAGCTGATCTGGCACTGGAGATGGATGGACGGGTATGTGTGAGTGAGTGACGGCCGTTTTTTTGTGGGAGAGGAGGGAGGGAGGGAGGTTGTTTAGAGATTGGGGGATCCTGTACAGTCTCACCGAGGAGCGGGCAGAGGCCCCCAGACAACAACAGCTGCCCCCATTCTGACAGCACGAAACAAAAAGGGCTCCCCTCTGTACCTCCGGCGTCTGGGCCACCCAGCCTGCCGCGGGGAAGAGTGCACCAGTCCCCCGAGCGCTCCCCTCAATCCTCGCCTCCCTTCTCTTCCTCTTCCTGCCCGGCGCTGTTTGTTCAGCCAGGCAGAATAACGTGAAGCAGGGGCCAGACCCGAGGCCCGAAACCACCCTGGACTAACTGCTTTCACCTGCGACCCACATTCTTAGATGCCGCTCTGACAAACAGGGTGGGGATAAAACCGTCTGCTAACAATGAAGTCAAATGATACAAAAAAAAAGCCCAGAAAACAGGGACAGACTGGGGCTTTGATCATCTGCTGGGAACGCTGGGGCCATTGTTCTGCCTGAATGCCTGGACTGCACTGACATACTCGAGTGTGTGCGGGCATGCAAGGGTGTCGTATGGTAACACAGTACAGCTACCGCACATGTGAGACTCTGCCTTTCTTCTTTCTTAGAAAAGCTACACCGGCTCAGCCAGCCCCCGTGTCCAGACACATTCCTTTCCCAGGGGATTCTGGGGGAGGAGAGCACGTTAAGTGCATAACACTGCTCGTGAGCTTCTTCATGCCAAGCCTGAAAACAGCAGTGTTTTCCTGTCTAGCCCCAAAGTGGGTGTTAAAAAGAGTTTTCAAGCAGAGGGCAATGGCGCTAGCGTACAGCGGTGGAAGGGGGGGGGGGGTTTAGAGCAGACCTGGGCAGCTGGCGGATCAACCACAGACTGTTTGGTCTGCGACAAGAAGAGTCCAGGTGCTGCCCAGCAGAGTGAAGAAGGGGCAGCTAGTCTGTGTGAGGAGCAGCTGGGGTCCAGGCCAGACCGATTTGCTAGCTAGCTACCTTGTGTGTGTGTGTGGGGGGGGGGTCACAGTCAAAACACTCATTTCAAGCTCAGCGTCACTATTGGCATATTTTTATGAGGTTTTTAAACGACATCTGTCTTTTTTTGTACAGTAAAGGTCTTTCTCCTCCATATAGATTTGTTGTTTTTAACATGTTGATACACTTTTCTTTCTGTATTTTATAAGGAGCCAAAAAAAAAAACAAACCAAAATAAAACCATTGAGATTCCATGCAGTTTCCTGCGAGTCGCTGGTACTTGAGCATTTGGGCTTCACGCACAGAAAGAGTAGGGGAGGGGCACACAATCAGGCGCCATTATGTGTCCGTGGCACCAGTTTGCTGTGCCAGGTAGTAGCATGAAGTTGACCGTCCGTGGAGCCTGAAGTCTTGAAATCTCCAAGTCATTAGCTCCAAAATCCAGAGAGAGCAAGGAGGGAGATGGGAGAGGAGGGGTGACAATCGTGGTGAGAGAAAAAAAAAAAAAAATAGTACGTGGGTTGAGTCGGTCCTCTACTTGACCCCAAACTCCGGTCTTGTGAGCATTGCCTAGTTCAGTAAAAATTATAAATTTAAATCAAAACCATGACATGCCCAAAAAATCTTTAAATACCTGTTTAAAGGAGAGGAAGAAGGGGTAAAAGAAAGAGTAATAAAAAAAAAAAAACCACAAAAAAAAAACCCCATAACATTTTTCTTTTAAGTGATGTTAAATTACAAAAACAAAAGTCAGTCCTACACTGAAATAAAAGGGAGGGAAGGGGGAGAATGCACAACTTAAAAAGAGCTGAGGAGATGGCTGAACCTCCTTTCTGCTTCAGGCTGATTTTGTTTTGGTGTCTGTAGAGTTGGCGGGTGATTGGGAGAGGAATGAGGGAGGGAGGGAGGCGCCTGGAGGGGTGGTAGTTACTTTTGGCCAGCCGCTGGGGCCTCTGAGAAAGAGGAAGAGGAGGAGGAGAGCGGGGAGTGGGCGTTAGGGAGTCCGGTGGAAGGGGTAGGAGGAGGAGAGGGGCTGCCTCCCACCGTGCCAGACTGGGCCATCTGCTGCTTGAGCTGGGTGATTGTACGCTCCAGCTTTTCCCGTGCCTCCCGCTCCCTGCGCAGCTCCTCCTGCAGCTCCTGCCGGTCTGCCTCCGCCTGCTCCAGCCTCTGACGCAGCTCCGACAACTGGGGAAGGAGACGAGGAGAGAGAGAGACAGACAGACGTGAGGTCAACTTGTGCCTACAGCAGATCAGAAGACATTTAGTCGAACGCATTATCTCATTTAACAACAGTCTGTCATAAGTGCTGGTGTGTAGACGTATTAAAAGATTCTGTGATGACTAGGAATGATTCGGCATTGCACAACACAAAACTCCATTAAGATTTCCAGAGATTGGATTGTGGCTCTCAGAAGTTGCGTAACTCTGGAAAAGATAACTTGGTCACTAAGGAATAAGATAATTAAGAGATGAAAATAAGATAAAATAAACTATATGGAGAATCTCCCATCTTTCATGATTGATTGTCTCTTTTTACCGCACAAGTGAAATAAAAGAAAGAAAAAAAACATTCTATTGTGGTTAACTTTTTATTGTTTTACTTTTAGCACTGTCTGTTAATTTATTTTTGCCGACGTCTATAGTGAGCATTTTTGTATCGTCAACGTGTGCTTATGTGGTTTGTAGACTATTTAAAAAAATAAAATTCAGAGATAATTTTCTCTTCCTATAGAAAACTAAAAAGACGCAGTAACACATACACAAAATAGACCCTAAACATAAACAAACAGCAGCTGAAAACCAGTTAGCTAGTATTATAGTACTAGGCTATCTACTGCTGTTGTACTGTATTTTGTGACTGCAAACAAAACCAAATTATCCAGTCGAAAATATTTTGTCCCGATCGTAAACCGCATTATAGTTTTGAGCTTCATGTTTCAGCCAGGATGTCGGGGCTCTGGCATCGTTCAGACGCCACCTCTTGCAAAAAAAAGTCAAAACCTTATCTATTCCTCTTCGTTTTCATGTTTTCTTAACACAGGGAATCTGTCGCCACATTTCTAATAACATGTAATGCAGACGTTTCTTAAGGCAAAAACAATAAAACATAGACAGAGATTGTCTAGAAAGCCTCAGATAATAGTGAGCTGCTTTGATTTGATTACACGATCGGTAGTGCTGACAGTGATGATCACATTAGTCTCAGTGGTAGACATTAAAAAACAACAACACACGGCATCATTTACCAGCCACCTGGCCCTGAGCTCAGCTTATTTTTCCACCGAACCCAAAATTAACCCACTTTTGGCACACGGCGGGTGTTAATTTTGGATCCTGGTCTAGTGTCACGACCAATGTGCTGTCAGTCAAACCAGAAAGGATGTACAGTATAAATACACCTGTGAGAAACAGCTTCACCGCTGTTTTTTCACTCTGAACACTCCGTAAAACTGGTAAAATACTTCAGACAGCGCCTAGCTTCAGGCCGGCATTAATCTCATACCCACACATACACTTGCACACCTGCTCCTAAACTGGCAGACATCCTGAGTTTGATACCAAGTGGAGCGGGGCAGGAGAGGGATACTGCAGCCCTGATCTCGAGCCAACATAACACAACTTATCTCAAGATTAAGTCTAGTGGAAACCCAAACAAAGTGTGTTCATGTACGTCAACAGCATCGTGACTCATAGGATTCACATACACACTAAGTGATTTAGTTGGGAAACTCTCAATCACAGATAGACTATGACCACATCTAGAAAACTCTCCACTACCCTTAAGAGGAAATATGTGGGTGACGTGTGATCTCAGAGTGCGTCGCCACTATCTGTTGGAAACATTTAAAAGAGGGAGCTCAAAATATTTTTACATTTAAAAATCGACATCCCCTGGTCGAAGCACACTGGAATCAACTGACAGCTGACCTGCAATTCACCAATCTCACCAATGTATTACTCTCGGTAATAAATGGTAAACAAAGTGCATTTATTGGTTGTCAATGCTTAGAAAATGTAACGTTTAATATGTATTGTACTGCACTTCCTCAGTTTGAGTTTGATTCACTGGAGCGTAGCCCTGCAATGTCTTTGAGATAAAAATGGCATATGTTAAGCGATGCGAGCCAATATGCACACTGTATACGTCACAGTGATTCACTCTGACCGTTTCTGATGCCAAAGTCGGCGGTGTACATGCGTGTGTTCCCCTCCTTACCTGTGCAGTGTAGTGGGCCTCCTGCTGGCGTTGTGCCCCCGGCTCGCAGGCACAGGCCTGCTGTCGGAGCTGCTCCAGACGGGTCTCCAGCTCCAGCTGTTCCTGGCGGGCCTGGCTGAGCTGCCGCGCCTGCTCACTGTGCACCGCCTCCAGCTCGCAGCGTAGCTCGCGCTGCTCGGCGCTCAGCTCCCGTAGCCTCGCCGCCTCGCCCCCACGCAACGCCTCCAGCTCCTGAAGACACAGAGACTAAGTCAAGGGAAATAACAATAATAATGTGATACTTCAATGACCCCTGCATAGAAAAATGCTTTACATTCAGCCCCTCCAAAGGGAGGTCAGATGTTTGATGCCACAAGGGACTCAAATGTAAGCTTCTACTGCTTATGCCGCCCTGCTGCACTAATTCAGAAAAAAATCAAAAACTGTGTGTTGACCTTTAACACATTCAGTGGGATTATGGATATAGACAATGCGCAATAAAAGTTTTGTGTATATAGATTTAACTTATTTTTTGGTTAAAAGCACAATTTGCTTATATTTTATTCTGTCTGTGACATTTTGTAACCAATATTGTTTAACGGTGAATCACTCACAATCACTGAACAAATGAAGTTCTCTCCAGATCCCTTTGGAGGGGTTTAATACACTGAAATAATTCAGCAGTAGATGTACTCTAATGTAGGTCAACTCTATTTCCATATGTACACACTGAAATGAAACCAGTATTTTAATAAAATAAAATGATGTTTTATATTAGTGATTTACATTAAAACTGGGGAGCCGCAGAACCAACCAGAAACGAAGGTTTTTGAATCTTTTTAGGCGTTACCAGGGAGAGACGGAGGGGTCGGTGGAAGGTGAACATCACCTCCACATCTACGTCAAGGACGCTTTTAATATGCGAGCGCAGTTATGGTGTAGTCAGGGGCTCATTTATCTTGGTCTTTCTAACTGCCAACTCACCATTTCCAGCTGCAGCTGCTTGTGCAGGGTGGAGTTGAGCTTCTCCTGCTGCCTGCTGTACATCTGCATGATCTCCACAACAATCCTGTCCTTGTCATCCTCCTGCCCCCCCACCACCACTGCAGCGCTGCCTGTGTCCTTAGCCGCTACTTCCGTAACCGGCGACAACAACGACGCAGGAGGAGGAGGAGGTGGTGGAGGCGGAGGGTGTGGGCGGGGTTGTGGGTGGGCTTTCTTGCAGCTCAGGCTGGCTTGTCTCGCATGGAGAAAACTGCCTGCCGTTTGGCATCCGCTCCGGGTGGCGAGGGCGCAGGGGCACGTTGGGATCCGGGGTTGGCCTCCCTCCGGCGCCAGCAGAGATGGGAGGGCGACGCGTGAAGATCTGAGGAGGAGAAGAAGAGGAAGGATGCAAGGAAGGAGTTTTTTTTTTTTTTTTTCAAAGGAGAGCGAGGTGGTTTGAGAGACAGGAAGTGAGAGCTGCGGCTGGTGTTGGCTTCCGGCGCAACGCTTAGTAACACCGGCTGCGCAAACATTGCGATAGAACGCTCGCACCTGCTTTCTCCAGCGCTGTGCGACGCAAGGTACGGCATGGGCAGAACAGCGCGAGGAAGGCAAAGCACTCACGCCAAATTCAGTGTGCGTGCAAGCCCTCAGACACCAGAGAAAGAATAGAAAAGGAATAAAAGGCCTCGTGTGGGAGCTCATTGCTCTGGCGTGGGCTCCTCTGCTGTTGCAGAACTCTGGCTGCTCCCCTTCACTGTGGGCCTTTAAAAAAGGCTGTACATGAATGGGAAAGGAAGGATGCAACACATGCGGTGTGGCACTGCTCCACAAGGCGAGGACACATGTACGCAGCTGCAGAGGGGCAATGTGTGAGCGGTTACTGAAGACCGTGTGGTTTGAGAAAGATATGTTCACAGAATAGACGGGGAGGAGAAGAAAATAGTGGAGAGAGAGTGACAGAGAGAGCGTGTTTACCAGCCTAATGTCTAATGGCGTGCATATCGTTGCGGACAGGAAGCAGCGATGCTCTTGTAAGCACAGGCC